GTCTGTATCTCTGTTTTGGTACCAGTACCATGCTGTTTTGATTACTGTAGCTTTGTAGCAGAGTTTGAGGTCAGGTAGCACGATGCTTCCAGCTTTGTTCTTTTTGCTTAGGATTGTAGTGGCTATGCGGGCTCTCTTTTGGTTCCGTATGAAGTTTAAGGTGGTTTTTTCCAGTTCTGTGAAGAGGGTCATAGGTAGTTTGATGGAAATAGCGTTGAATCTATAAATTACTTTGAAGAGTACGGCCATTTTCACAATATTGATTCTTCCTAACCATGAGTATGGAATGTTTTTTCATCTGTTTGTCTCCTCTCTTATTTCGTTGAGCAGTGGTTTGTAGTTCTTCTTGAAGAGGTCCTTCACATTCTCTGTTAGTTGTATTCCTAGGTATTTTACTCTCTTTGTAGCAATTGAGAATGGGAGTTTTTTCTTGCTTTGGCTCTCTTTAAGTCTGTTATTGGTGTATAGGAATGCTTGTGATTTCTGCAGATTGATTTTGTATCCTGAGACTTTGCTGAAGTTGCTTTTCAGTTTAAGGAGATTTGGGGCTGAGGTGGGGTCTTCTAAATACACAATCATGTCTCCTGCAAAAAGAGACAATTTGACTTTCTCGTTTCCTAACTGAATACCCTTTATTTCTTTCTTGCCTGATTGCTCTGGCTAGAACTTCCAATACTATATTGAATAGGAGTGGTGAGAGACGGTATCCTTATCTAGTGCCAGACCTCAAGGGAATGCTTCCAGTTTTTGCCCATTCAGTATGATACTGGCAGTGGGTTTGTCATAAATAGCCTGTATTATTTTGAGATACATCCCATGGATACCTAGTTTATTGAAGAGTTTTTAGCATAAAGGGCTGTTGAATTTTGTCGAAGGCCTTCTCTGCATCTATTGAGATGATCATGCGGTTTTTGTCTTTGGTTCTGCTTATGTGGTGGATTATGTGTATAGACTTGCGTATGTTGAACCAGCCTTGCATCCCCGGGATGAAGCCTACTTGATTGTGATGAATAAGCTTTTTGATGTGCTGTTGCAATTGGCTTGCCAGTATTTTATTAAATATTTTTGCATCTGTGTTCATCATGGATATTGGCCTGTAGTTTTCTTTTTTTGTTGAGTCTCTGCCGGGTTTTGGTATCATGATGATGTTAGTCTCATAACATGATTTGGCAAGGATTCCCTCTTTTTGGATTGTTTGCAATAGTTTCAGAAGGAGTGGTACCAGCTCCTTTTTGTATGTCTGGTAGAATTCAGCTGTGAACCCATCTGGACCTGAGCTTTTTTTGGTTGGTAGGCTATTAATTGCTGCCTCAACTTCAGCCCTTGTTATTGGTCTATTCGGGATTTTGATTTCTTCCTGATTTAGGCTTGGGTGGGTCCAAGTGTCCAGGAACTTATCCATTTCTTCCAGGTTTATTGTTTTATGTACATAGAGTTGTTTGTAGTAATCTCTGATGGTAGTCTGTATTTCTGTGAAATCGGTGGTGATATTCCCTTTATTGCTTTTTATTGCATCTATTTGATTCTTCTTTCTTTTCTTTTTTATTAATCTGGCTAGTGGTTTGACATGTGTATTTGTTTGTTCATTTATTGCTTATCTCTTCCCTCTAGAATGCAAGATTTCACGTGAGCAGGAAACTTATCTGTCTTCTTCCCTTCAATACTGCCAAGGTTTAGAAAGGTACTTGGTACATAGTATATGTACAACTGATAATTACTGAATGAATGAGTTCAGAGCCATTGTGAAGAGCAGCTTTTTAAAGGACTGTGCTAGGTATTTGTGCATAAGAGTTGGGGGTAAGGGTAGGCAGAGAACGGATGGATGATTAAAAAGATAGCATGAAACTAAAAATGCTAGTAAATCAAATTAACTAAAATTTTTTGTATCATTTTCAGAATATTAGGCAAGTCATCACTCTATCACTGATTCTACTTTTCTGTACCTCTTCATTTTTTCCATCAAGGCAACAGTAGAAATGAAACCTGCTTACAATCCAAACAATACCAATAAATTCCTCTTTTTAAAATGTTTCATTATTGTGAAAGGAAAAATCCAAGTGGCTACTTTCAACATTCTAAATAGTTCTCTTTCTGGATGACACAGGGCCTGATTCACCTGCCAGAGTTATTCAATGGTTACAGTGTGAATTTGCAACAATACAAGAAGCTGAAGATAAAATCGCCAATAGGTACAAAGAAAATCATCTCTACCAGGCCTGTAGCTGTCAAAGCTGTGACCTTTATCAAGGATATCTAGCAGTGGTGAGGAAAAATGGGTTCGAGAGTTTGACTGACTCCTTGGTCATTCACTTATTAGTTTTATGATCGTAGGCAAATTGTTTCACCTCACTGATCCGCAGCTTACCTCATCTGTATAATGAAAATCGTATTACCTAATTAATGCATCCAGTAAATAGTTATTGAGCACTTACTATAATGCTAGGAACTGGAAATAAAGTAGTGATTAAGACTCTGTTCCTGCCCTTCAGAAGGTTACAATCAAGCAGAAAATAAGAATAAAGGGTTCTCTTAGAGTACCTAACCTGCTTTTGGTATACGAATGGTTCTGAGAATGAAATGAGTCAAGTATATACATGAAATATCTATGGCAGTAGTAGGCACACAGTATGTGCCCATGGTCACAGAAGCAGTAAGTGGCAGTGCTGGGACTTAAATCCAAGTTCAGTAGTCCCTTTATAATGCCACTTCGTCAAGGCTCCCTTGAGAGTCTGTTAAAATGCAGATTCTAAGTCTCACCAAGATCCCACACTGAAAATAGCATAGCTACCTGCAACTAAATCAAAATCAAGTCTTACTATGATGTACGATAAAGAATGTCAAGTCAAACTCATAACAGGAGACAGAATTTCTTCTTCTTCTAGGAAGAATGAGCTGCCATGAGAGCCTGCACTCCTGCCAAACAACTAGAAAACAGGACACATTATATGAAACAATGGTTTTCAATTATCGGACAGCAAGCAGTACAGGACCACTAAACCAGAGAGGAGGAAAACAATGGCTCAAGCTTACAGCCCAAAGCAGTTTCCAGATTGTAGGCGAGTAAGGGAAAACCCAAACAAAGCCAAGCAGTCTCACCAAGTTGGACAATAAAAGGTTGAAATCTGGGAAGGCCAAGGCAGCTAAAACTCGTAGTACAGAGTACCAGAGTGTGGGACCTACATAAGAGAGTTCTACAGAGCTCCAAGGGAGTCCTCTCCAGTGTTTGCCTGAACAGTGACCTATAAAAGTATGAGAAGAAACTCCCAAGGCTTGGGAAAGAACCGCTGAAAAGCAGCAGGTCAAATAATTCCTGAAGATCACAAGCTGGAAGTCATTTGTGGGGGAAGTTCATAACACATGGAGCACTGGAGTGTCCCCATAGGGCTAACACTTTAGTAATGGGGCCCAATTTCTCCGAAATAAGAGTTGCCGTCTAATCTCAGATGAGTCATACTGATCCAAAAGTTATTCAACTGCAGAATAGAATAAAATGCATATTTAAAAAAATCAAAATCAGCTGGGTACGGTGGCTCATGCCTGTAATCCCAGCACTTTGGGAGGCTGAGGCAGGCAGATCACCTGAGGTTGGCAATACCAGCCTGACCTACATGGAGAAACATCGTCTCTACTAAAAATACAAAATTAGCTGGGTATGGTGGTGTATGCCTGTAACCCCAGCTACTCTGGAGGCTGGGATTACAGGTGTGAGCCACTGCACCCAGCCCCAAATACAGTATTAATAGAAGATTAGGTATCACAGAAGAAAAGGTTAGTGAACTTGAAGATTCCACTTCACACCCACTATCATGGCCAAGATGAAGAAAATGTTAACAGTGTTAGTGACTATACAGAGCAACTGGAATCCTCATACACTGTTGTTGACAGCAAAATGCTGTCACTGTCACTTTGGTGAAGTTTATTAGTTTTGTATAATGTTAGGAATACACATAATGGCTGGGCACGTTGGCTCACGCCTGTAATCCCAGCACTTTGGGAGGCTGAGGTAGGTGGATCACAAGGTCAGGAGATTGAGATTATACTGGCTAACATGGTGAAACCCTGTCTCTATTAAAAATACAAAAAATTAGCTGGGTGTGGTGGCACGTGCCTATAGTCCCAGCTACTCGGGAGGCTGAGGCAGGAGAATTGCTTGAATCTGGGAGGTGGAGGTTGCAGTGAGCTGAGACCCCGCCACTGCACTCCAGCCTGTGTGAAGGAGCGAGACTCTGTCCGAAAAAAAAAAAAAAAAATACGCATAGCATATAACCCAGAAATCCCACTTCTAGGTATATACCCAAGAGAAATTAAAAAAAAAATTCATCTACATAAATACTTTTATACGAATGTTCATAAGAGCTGTATTGAAAATAGTCAAATAATGAAAACATCCCAAATGTCTATCAGCTGGTGAATAAACAAACTGTAATAATCCATACGATGAAGTAAGATAGTAAACTAATTGATTTTCAAAATAACATAAATGAATCTCGAAGTCACCATGCTAAATGAAAGAAGCCAGATACAAATCACTTCATACTATATAATTTCATTTATATGTAATTCTGGAAAAAGCAAACAACTGTGAGAGAAAGTAGGCATCAGTTCCCTGGGATGAGAGGTGGGGGGAGGGACTGATTAGCAGGAGGACTAAAGGAGCTTTTTGTGGTGATGAAAATGTGGTATATATTGGTCATGGGGGTTATGTTTGTGTGTATGTACACAGTTGTACAAGGACTCATTGAACTGTCCAGTTAAAATCACTGAATTTTACTGCATGTAAATTATACCTCAGTAAAGCTGACTAAAACATAACTGACTATGTATCCAAATATAAAGAAATACATTTTTCCCACTTGCAAGTAATAGTTATAAAATGATCTTTCCGTTTGGGTTCACAATATCTTTTCCCCCTTTGTAGGATGATAGTCTCAATAAGCACATACATTAAAAACTCATAATCACGTTTTTCCTATGGAAACAATATCCTCTATGAGCCTTACCAAAAGTAGTGAGTCCCTGTGAGACAGACGTGAGAACATATATGAGTACAGGAGGCTCTAAGTTGATGATGAAGCTCATATGGTCCTGGGTGAGACATTCCAGGAGTGGATAATAGGCCTGGCTCAGTTTCCGGTATTGCTACAACACAGAGATATACTAAATGTCAAGCCACAGGGAAGAAAAATACACGTTACAGTCCAGTGAAAATTGTCATTTATAATACTAGAAATTGCAAACTTATTTAAACACAAAGTCAATAAATATATAGGGCAAATGACATAATGAGTCCCAATCCAGCATTTAAAGGGGTTCTGAAGGAATCTCTTAATCTTTTTACCTTATTTGGTTAGCACTTAAAAGTAAAATCCCTGCACTATGACATTTAGAAGACTGTGTGAATTATTTTTCTGGATTGGAACACTGTAACACTGAACAGTGCTTAATAGCAGCTAGGAAATTTTTTTTTGTTTGTTTTTTAAACACAAAGAAATTTGCTGTTATAATGGGATTTGGCATTGTAGTCTGTTGTATTAATATAATGCTAATCCATCTAACTAAATAATAATTTGGTAAAGAGTGCTTAATATTTACCATATACTACAGGCAAAAGATAAGTGCATGAGAAAGATACCTAAAAAATCTCAAATGCAATCCAAACCAGTATAAAAGAAACATATTTCTAAGACATATTAAAGAAGCTGGGCAAGGAAGTTCATGTTGGTAATTCCAGCTACTTGGGAGGCTGGGGCAGGAGAGCTGCTTAAGCCCAGGAGTCTGAGAACAGCCTGGGCAACATAGTAAGACCCTGCCTCTAAAAAAAAAAAAAAAAGATAAACCAGAGGAGTATTTCATAAAGTGATGTAGTGATGTTAAGACCAACTCAGTAAGAATCACTTGGGGTACTTCTTAAAAATGCAGTTTCCTGATCCCCACTTCAGACTCACTAAATGACAAACTCTAGTGTAGGCTCTGAAATGTACATTTTAAACACATATGCTAAGAGAGTCTTATGCACCCTCAAGTTTGAGCATTACTGTGTTAAAGGTTTGCTTGACCATTAGAAGAAAAAAAATTAGAGAAAATTCTTGGAACCACGTTAGTTGTCTTGGTGGACTTTAACTGTAGTGAAGTGACTCTCTGATGAGGTGATTGTAACATATGCTGATTTGACTCAAGTTTCTATTTTGTAATTTCTGTCAAACATACATATCCTTCAATGATCATTCCATTCTACTACAAGGTGGCTTAATAACTTTGGCTTGAGATGTGGCCCTTCCAAGATTAGTTTATAAAGGTGGAAGACAACACACTAGTCCACTAGGAGATCAAGGAGCATTTCTTTTCTTTTCTTTTTTTTTTTTTTGAGACAAGAGTCTCGCTCTGTCTCCAGGCGCCAGGCTGGAGTGCAGTGGCGCGATCTTGGCTCACTGCCACCTCCACCTCCCGGGTTCAAGCAATTCTCCTGCCTCAGCCTCCCGAGTAGCTGGGACTACAGGCGCACACCCCACCATGCCCAGCTAATTTTTGTATTTTTTTTTTAGTAGAGAGGGGGTTTCACCATGTTGGCCAGGATGGTCTCGATCTCTTGACCTCGTGATCCCCCCGCCTTGGCCTCCCAAAGTGCTGGGATTACAGGCGTGAGCCACCGCAACCGCCAAAGAGCATTTCTTACACAGGCTGACTAACAAAGGCCTTCCAGATTTTGCTCGTAACCTTGGGTGGGAGCAGGTGAAAAGGCATGAATGAAGCCTGAGCACAATCTGGCTGTATTACTCAAGCAATTACTGCTACTACATTGGGCACATATTGGTTTCTGTATAATCAGGCAGAGATGTTAAAAAAAAAAAAAGCCACGATAGTTTTCCAAATTCTGTAAGTTAGATCAAGTATGCTGTCTTAAAACATGAATTGTTCTAGGCTAACTCCCTGAGCTTCATTATAACACTTCCAGGCCTGTGGTGGTGTTACTTCACATTTCATACAAGGACTCCCGTGATGCATGATTGCTTACTAGCAAGTCACTGTGAGACACTGACAGCAGCATTTTGATGAAGGCCTGGAGTACATTGTCAAAATGGTTGTCCCCATACAACTTGAAGACGCCAAAGCTGACATAATTTCCACACAAGGCAGACTTGAGAGCTGAATAGCAGATGGAGATGCCCTTGAGTTTCATTGGATAAATCTGATCTTTTGAGAGGCTCCCAAGGGACAGGATCTGATTACCTGTTTTAGGGTAAAAGCAGAAAAAGAAAGTGACATAAGTAGATGTCATTCAAAGCAGTTATGGGACACACTAACGTTTTTACTTTGCTGCTAATGTTCACTTCCTCCTAGCGTATTTTAAGAATTTTTTTATTCATTGTAATAAAAAATATAAATACATATGGCAGTTTACCTGGAAATACAAAATGCCCAAGGAAAAACAATCAAGGATATTGGAAAAGCTCTGTATTTTTATCTGCGGGGTGACCACACAGATGTACACATAGATATGTAAAAATTCATTAAGCTGTACTCTTAAGATTAGTTCATCTTACTTTGTGTTATCCTGTCAATAAAAAGTTTTAAAAAGTGGGTTGAAACTAAGTCAAGAGAAAAACATAACCTGGCTGAGATGTAAATTACCCTAAATTCCTGGTGAATTTTTCACCTTTTATGTGAATTTGATCTTGAGTGACTTCACTTTCAGGAGGCTCACAGGTTTGTTACATGAATCTGATGGAGCAACACACAGCCGTTCTTGGTGCAGTGCACAGTACACAGTACTTCCCTTGTCTTCCTGGATCCTTCTTCAGACGATCTCAAGAGATGATTGTTTTAAAAATTGTACTTAAATTGTATTGACCATCAGAAGACAAAGACATGTTTGTATGATCACCTTAAAATTTTCTGTAGTAGTTAGCGTTTACAATCAATCATTTCTGTTTCTGAAATGTGTGCTAGTAAGTATGTTACTAGGTAATACTTGATAATGCTTTAAAAATATATATAAAGTAATACACATATATATTTTTAGTAATACTTTGCTTTTTCCTAGTTGGATGAGTATTGCCTCTAAAACAAACTAAATTTAATTTACAAAATTTAGGAACATAATATAGTGGCTTATACTGTATCAACTTGGCTAACAAGAATTAAGTTCCCTAGACTCCACTTTCCTATATGGTTGTGGGCTAGAATTGGCTGAAATAGAAATCTGCGTGCGATTTGGAAGCTGGGAGTGAAGGAGCTGCCATGACTGTCTGAAGGTTGTCGTGGTTAGGGGTGCTGAGAGTAAGATGTAGAAATGCTGCTGGTTTCACTTTGTCCTTGTTCTTCCTTTTCTGTCTGTGTCTAGAACTACCAGCCCTGCTGACCAACATCTCCAAGCCCACCACCAAATAGGTGGTAGCAAACTTACAGAACCAACAGCTATGCAGAGGCGACAGCCTCCTACCGACTTCTACAGCACTACACCAGCTACCTTTTCACCCCTAATCCTTTCATAGTTCCACTCTAGCACCTATATGTGTCTGGTTTCCGGATTTCCCTGCAAATTCCAACTTGTCTATGCCAATGTTTTGGGAGGGCCGATCAGCGACTTTTTTCCCCCTGAACCCTCAACTCTCCCCTTTGGACCTATTTCCCCATCTTCGCTTAAGATTGTACAAGGTCTAATTTCTAAAATACATCATCCATTCCAAAAGTATTATTGTGCTTGTTTTTTCTGCTGTGAAGCTTGACTGATACATATATTACAGTAACCACATGTGTACTAAGGTTAAGCAGGACCAATACTTCTAGCAGAGCATGAAACACAGGGTCACTGCAGGGTAAAGGTTCCCTCTTCTTGATCTGCCTTGATCTGTTCCATGTATGGGGAGCATTTCCATATGCATATTTTCTTCTGTGTAGCCTTAATAGTCCACGTGACATTGCTTATAATTCATATTCCTGAATGGCAAAACCATGGTCTAGAAGGCAGAAGCCTATCTTGTATGTCAATATCAAATTCTGTACCCTCTTTCATGATCTCATTCTAACTTACCTTACAGAGGTATGATAGCTGTATAAAGATTCAACTCGAAATGACAGCATTTATTTAATAGCTACTATGTGTGAGGTGCTGGTATAAACAAATGATTAAATAAAATCTCCCTGAGGGAGTTCAGTCTGGTGGGGGCAATAGATCTGTAAATAAATAATTCCATACAATTATTTATTTGTTCCATTCCATCAGAGGTATGTCAAGATGTTATGCAAACAGAAAAAGAGACCAACTTTCCTTGGGCAGGAGGGCAGGGGAAAGGCTTCATAGAATAGGTTAAGTTTGAAGGATAAATTGAATTTGCCCATGTGAACTCAGAAAAAGAGGAGTGTACTCTGGGTAGATGAAGTGCAAAGGCATGGAGGTCTAAGAAAGCCAGGTATTTTAGAAAAGAACAGTTCTCAACCACCGTTTTTCTACCTTTGCCTCAAATTCAATTTAAACCAAGGTTAGACATTTTCCCTCCTTCGCTTTCCCAAAAAAGAACAGCAATGCATATACATGTGATGAAAAGAGCTAGGGTAATTTTGGAAGGGGAGAGGGTGATTTATGGGTTTTGTATTTGTTGGGAAGGCCATGGTAAAAGTGAGAAAACTTCTGGGGCCTTTTAATGCTGATATCCTTATGGGGAAAGTAAGGGTCCTATATTCTGCAGTAATAGATGAAGCAGGCAGGCCAAGAATTGCCTGATATGAAAAAAAATTTGTAAAGGACTGGATAATCTATTATCAAGAAGCATTATTTAGAATCATGACTGTTATCTCTATTAATGCTGCAATTTGGCATACATGTCTCGCCTTTTGGACTATGTCAGATACATCTGTATTAACCCATTTATGCCAAAGGTCGCACTTTTTTTGGTGAAAAATCAGACCTTGGTGATGACCCTGAGCAGTAGGATATAAATAACTCCCACAAGCTTAGCGTTCTAATAATGGAACACTAGGCATACATGGGTTAAGATGGTAATTAATACACTATTTTGACTTTGCAACAGAACGATGAATACTTTTGAAATAGGAACCTACCTCATTTTGCTCAATTGCCTCACCGTTCCATGGTGATTACAAAAGACTATAGAAAAGAAGGCTTGGCCATGTTACCCATTTATTTACTCAGATGCAGCTTTATTCAATAAGCATTTTTCAGCAATATGTACTGGAATTGTCGGTCCTGCCCTGAAAACCTGAAAATCTAGGAGTTAGACTTGCATTAGTTATAAACAAAAGTGACAGGGCTTAGGTTTGTTTTTGATCTTCCTCTCTAGGTATGATATCCCTCCTTGTCCTCCCTGCTCCACTCCACACCTAGGAAGCTCTACTCCTTCCTTGTCAGCTCTTCCTTCGTAAGAGGAGACCTATGCTGCACTGATGGAGAGCTAGGGGATGATGGCATTACCAGGTTGGCAGCTACTAAAGCCAGGAACAACTGCTACTTTGGTACTACTGTAGCAGTCCAAAAGTGAATCAAACTTTAATGATGTAAAACAGACTTTCAAAGGCTAGAACCAAATGGAAGAACTCTAATTGTTTCCCACTAAGTACCTTTGCCATAATTTGGGGAGGGGAAAAGAGATGCTGTAGCATCCTTAAGCTGGGTAAGACAGATGCTGAGACTATGCTGGGGCTCAGGGGAGAAGGCGGCTGTGAATCCAATGGTTAACCTGGCCAAAGGCAACAGCAGGGAATGGGGCACAAGTAATATGGAATTCCCATTCTTACTCTTGTGCATGCTGTAGCAGTATAAGAAATCTCATTAGATAATGAGGAGAAACAACTGGGAAATGAGCACAGAGGATCCTTGATCTACATAATTTGGCATATGAGAAATATTTTCCTCATTATTAGCTTAAGAGAACTGCTTGGGGTTCTCCTTCTTCACCTCCACTCTCTGTCCTTCATGGAGAGGCTTTTGCTGTTATTAGCTTCCAGCACTCAGAGGTGCCCTTCTAGACAATTCTCAAGATGTACTTTTAAAGAGGGATACACATGGGAAGATGTCAGATCTCCTGCTCATCTGCGACCGATTGTCAGGTCTACTTTTCTTTTAAATTATTTTTTCTCCTGAGACCTATCTTTTTAACTGAGTGACAGACTCCAGGATGTCTTCCTCTTCAGAAGAGACTCCCATTACCCAAAAAAGAATGGCTTTCTTTCACAGGGCTCAGCTGGAGAACTATATAATAAGATAATATTCAAACAGAAGAGAAACATATAGTACAGAAAGTAGTGATTGACAGTGTGGGTTTTTCACTCATACTGACCTGGTCTGAATCCTAGATCTTTCCTTACTACCTAGGTACCTGAGCAGATTATTAATTTATGTAAGTCACAGTTTCCTCATCTACAGAATGAGGATAATAACACCTGTAATTTACAAGGCTCTCATGTGGAGAAAAGGAGACAGCATATGTAGAGTAGCTGCCACAGGAGCTGCTGGCACAGTGCTCAATAAATGCAAACTATGACAATACACAGTACTTGGGGTTCATTTTTTTTCTCCTGTCTAATGGCTTGGAAGTTTATATTTGGAGGAACTACAGCTTGGAAAAGAGGAGGCGGTGAAGCTGAGTGTGTGTGGTATAAAACAATGTCACTTCCCTCTAATTCTTTTCATTTACACAATTCAAAGTAAGGTCAATACTCTTATCATTGGACAGCCTCCTCTCTGTTTCTTCAATAGAGAATTAGCTGCAGGGGATTACAGTTTTGCTGTTTGCTTTGCATTCCACCAATTTGCTATACCTCAAAAGAATATTTAGAAAAGTGATGTAAGGGATAAGATACGCCACAGTAGTATCTTATACCAGGAGGAACTCACAGTGTAAACAACGTTACTTCTTGGCTTACAAAGCAATCAATCACATTGATTTACCTTTTCTTTTTCTCTTTGAATCTCTGAAATTTTAAAGTGAATTTGATAGCTAGCTGACAACCGTATAGGCTGAATGTCTTCACTCATCATTGGAAATAACAGTTACATGAAAAGAATTGCAACTTGCTGACATTCTTTTACTTCAGGTGACTCAACGCACTCTTATCTCTCTGCAAACCAGCTAAGGTCTCCGGACATAAATGGTTTGGGACAGAATTGAACCTGTAAAGACTGGAGGGAATATAATATTTCCCTTTCAGATTGAAAAAGATAACACAATGCAGTGTTGATAAAGATGTAGGAAAATAAGAAAATTGTTAGG